GTGTGCCTTAGGCTGGCCACAATAAAAGGCCACTCTAAAATGTGCACTTTTATCGAGTTGATCAGGTTGTTGATTGTGGCCTGTGGAATGTTGGTCCACTCCTCTTCAATAGCTGTGCGAAGTTGCTGGATATTGGCAGGAACTGGAACACGCTGTCGTATACACCGATCCAGAGCATCCCAAACATGCGCAATGGGTGACATGTCTGGTGAGTATGCTGGGATGTTTTCAGCTTCTAGGAATTGTGTACAGATCCTTGCAACATGGGGCTGCACATTATCATGCTGCACCATGAGGTGATGGTCGTGGATGAATGGCACAACAATGGGCCTCAGGATCTCGTCACGGTATCTCTGTGCATTCAAAATGCCATCAATAAAATGCACCTGTATTCGTTGTCCATACCATAACCCCACCCCCATGGGCCACTCGATCAACAACGTTGACATCAGCAAACTGCTCACCCACACAACGCCATGCATGGTGTCTGCCATCTGCCCTGTACAGTGAAAACCGGGATTCATCCGTGAAGAGAACACCTCTCCAAAGTGCGGGACACCATTGAATGTGAGCATTTGCCCACTCAAGTCGGTTACGACAAACTGCAGTCAGGTCAAGACCCCAATGAGGATGACGAGCATGCAGATGAGCTTCCCTGAGACGGTTTCTGACAGTTTGTGCAGAAATTCTTTGGTTATGCAAACCGATTGTTGCAGCAGCTGTCCGGGTGGCTGGTCTCAGACGATCTTGGAGATGAAGATGCTGGATGTGGAGGTCCTGGGCTGGTGTGGTTACACATGGTCTGTGTTTGTGAGGCTGGTTAGATGTACTGCCAAATTCTCTGAAACGCCTTTGGAGACTTAGAGAAATGAATATTCAATTCACAGGCAACAGCTCTGGTGGACATTCCTGCAGTCAGCGTGCTAATTGCAATTACTATGTCACACCTGTGAGGTGGATGGATTATCTCGGCAAAGGAGAAGTGCTCACTAACACAGATTTAGACAGATTTGTCAACAATATTTGAGAGAAAAAAGGCCTTTTGTGTACATAGAACAAGTTGTAGATCTTTGAGTTCAGCTCATGAAAAATGGGGGCAAACACAAAAGTGTTGCGTTTATAATTTTGTTCAGTGTAAATGATTTTGCCGTTTAAACCTGTCACAGCAGGCTACACAGCACTGACATACGCTCACTAACTAGTTGTTAACTTTGCCTTTTAGTGCTGGTCAGGTAGCACACAGTGGGATTATTGGAGTCTTTTGCTACACTAGGAAAGCAACGAGAGTGAACCAAATCAGAAAAACCAAAACAATTGGCCGAAAGATGCTAAAAACCTCCAAGTGAATGTCATCTCTCAAAATACTGGATCCTGACTGACAAGTAAACATTTTGTCCCAACAAATACTCACATTCGATGGTGTCATCTCACAGCTCTGTTGGGTGTTGGCTGTGTTGAATGAATTTGTGTTGAAGCTGGTGTGAAGCCAATGCTAAGTGGGCAGAGGGGGCAGGAGAAGACACCACTCAGGTGTGCTGCACACACACACACACACACACACACTAATCCTCAGATGTCCTTCAGTACTCTATGTACAGATTACAGTGCTAAATGGTGTCTTTCCTTAAATCACATTCAGCCCTAAACAAATTATAAATCAGCGGATGCTCTAATTATAAAGTTGATTAAACAACTGAATTAGTCAAAATGAAAACACTTGAAGGTGCATCTCTCAAAACACTGGATCCTGACTGACAAGTAAACATTTTGTCCCAACAAATGAATGAAGGTACCAGAGGTGGAAGTAAATCACACATGTGCAAATCATAAGCAAGTCTCAAGTTACAGTGGCGAACCAAACAAATCAAGTCCAATCCCTAGTCAAACATGTCACAAGCTAAGTCATACTAAATTATAATGTTATTGGAATATCATATATTTAAGCGAAACATTCACAAACCTCCTCTGATTATGAATTATGCATTCATGCGTGATAAACTAACCCTTAGCTATTAAATAGAAAAGGCATGCCTTTCATTGCTATCAGAAACTCTTCTCACTGTGTAATCAATTCAAAGCCAAGTCTAACAGCTTAAACGTAATATTAGCTTCTATGATACCTGCATCCTGTGACCTGCGTTACCCTCTGCTGGTCTGTCACTTTCTGGTAGGTTTCCAGGTTTGTGCACATTGCACTAAAAATCACCCAGTTGTATTTCAGAAACAAAACCTAACTTCTCAATATCAAAAAATGCAAATAGTTAATAAATAAAAGTAATTGAGTCATGTCTCAAGTTTGAGTCAAGTCTCAAGTCATGAATACCAAGTCAAAGTCAAATCTTTTATCAGTTTTATTCAAGCAAGTCTCAAGTCCTCAAATTTGCAAATTAATTTGCAACTTAAGTCTGACTTCAGTCAAGTCATGTGACTTGAGCTCCCCCACCCCTGGAAACCAATCAGCAACCATTAACCAAAGGTTTCACTTAGGTTAATCTAGTCTTTGTCATTAGAGGAATTTGCCAAACCAGGACATTTGCTTTGTTATAATGCAGGACACTGCCTTGATTGATGCCATGAGGCAGGAAATTAAATAGATTGTCTGTAATTTCTGTGTACATGTATGTATATTGTAATGCACTTTACTACTCAAACTAATTCATCATGTGTAAACATAGCACAAGCGAAGCCTATTCCAATTGAGGAAGGGTGTTGTCTAAAACAGTGAACGATGGTTACTTACCAGATTGTGTGTGTGATTATGTTTACTTCCTCCTGCCTGTGTGTGAACATGTAAGTGTGTGTCTGTGTGTGTGGTACCAGGGAAGCAGGCGCAGCAGGGAAGTGTTGTAGCTCACTCATAAGTGGCATGTGGCTGCGATGTCATCGGCCGTGGAGAGCACTGGCAGACAATCAGGCCACTTCGGAGCTGTAACGACAGACAGGCCTGTTACATGACTCGGAGGACAAGGTGAGGATGCCTCTGTTCCTGTTGATAAGGCTCTGTTTCCTGTTGGCCAGGTCAGCATTGACGTGCACTTCACCTCTGATAGATGTTGTTCTCTGAGTGTGGGATGAGGCTTTGTAGCAGTCAGCCATGGAGCAGTTAAATGAATTGGTTTAAATCTGAATTTGCTGAGGTGTTTAGGTAAGACTCTACTTACCTCATCAGCATAAACTTCAAAGCTCATCCACAATAGAGGAAAAAGAACTTGTCCTTCTGATGGAAATGCTGTACTGTAGATGAACTGTTTTTGCACTAATGAAATGGTGATGCACAGACTCCTCTCCAAATTTAAGAACAAAATACAAACTGTATCCTTCTCTACTGTACCATAAAGAGTGGTTAGTGAGCTGTTCATCAAGTGACTCACTGGACTGAACTCTTTAGTTTCTTTGGTTGAATTATTACAAACATGAATAGACTGTGTGCAGTTTACTGACGTCATTTTTTCAGGGTGAATATTACAGCCCTACCAACTGTGTCAAACTCATGAAACGCATGTATAGCTAAAAGACAATATAAACTGTAATTTATATTTTAACAGCAGAAATATCACAAATAGTGATGCATGAAATGGCTATACTTATACATTTTGGGAAATATACTAACTTCCTTTCTTGTTGAAAGTTAAATGAGATGATCATTACCATTGTCATGTCTGTCCAAACAGCCTGTTGAAGCAAGATGATGCTAAGTTTAGCTTAGCATGAACACTAGAAACAGCTAGCTTGGATTTCTGAATGTAAAAAAACATCTTCCAACAGCTCTAAAGAAGTCAGTGTTTCCTGGTAAACTTTAACTTGTCATTTTTTACATTTGTACAGATTAAGCAAATGCAATACAAATAACAGCTTTCTGCTGCATTCATACAGAGCCATTAGTGTTTCAAGTCATTATGCTAGGCTAACATCTCTTTGTTGTAGCTTCATATTTACTGTACAAACACGAGAGTATGTCTCAACTACTCCTGTAATAAATACAACAGCTCATATTACTCTCAGCAAATGGCAGGTGGACTAAAGCTAGGCTGTAGTTTTATTTTGGTTAATCTAATGCACAAAAAGCCCTCGGCAAAAGTCAGTCGGATTTCATCTTAAACTGAATCACATCTAAGTGTGGCAAGTTATTGGATGTTAAGGCAAAGTGAGTCATGGTGAAACAATTTCATAACTATGTTCCCTCTAGCTGAAAGTCAGCTGATAAAACCATATGATTACAGTTTGATGAGAACTGGTTGGCATAGTGTTTTATTCTCTTGTAAATTCAGACAAGCCTAAAAAGTGTTTATGGATAGGCAACATAGGCTACTCCCATTTCTTTAAAAATCCCCACCAATAACTGTTTTATTCTGGACTGTGAATAACACAAAAATCACATCTCAGCAAAACTTGTCACAATTAAAGCTACAGTAAGTAACTGAAGGTGGCACTAGCATGAAACTCCAAATCAATCCACTCTGCTCTGCCCAGCGCTCCCTGGTCCTGTTCCACCAAGCCCTGCCCAGCTCTTCAGATATCTGTTGTTATGAAATTACAGTAAATGAGAATGCAGCAACACTTCAACACGCTCATCAAGCAGAAATAACTGAAAAGCTCTGACTGGTTACAAAGGCCAGTCCCACTCAAAACCTTTAGAAGTTAATATCTCTGCACTGCTGCCAGTGCTGTTCACTGAGTCTGGGTCACAGGAGACTTGGACAGCACCTCTCCACATTAACACAAGTTTTGAACATGTTTCTACAACAAAAATATGTTTAAAAAAGTTACACACTGTAGCTTTAACTGTGACAACTAGGGAGCCTCCAGCACCGGGTTCACATTTGAAGTAGAGCGCCCAACGCTGCCTCGTTTCTCTACACGCATTAGTTCAACTGCTTCCAGTCGTGTTGACAAGTCAATTTGTGCGTTGTAGAGACATCAGATTGACGAGGCAGTGTTGGAGCCGCTGGTATGGTCCCCTCACGCTCTCATTGGTATTTGGTCCCCGGCCCGCCCCTTTCCCCATCCTCCGCGCTGCGCCGCTCCACAGCCCCGCGGCACCAACGGGGCAGTCCAGCTACACCACCGCCTCACTCGGACCGACCTGGAATGTATTTCTGCTGGAAACATAATTAAGCTGGAGTCCGCCAGTCTCCTTTTATTTTTTTTCACCGTGTCGCGGTTTCCTGGGGTGAGTTTATAGCCTATACATTTTTGAAGTTAAATCACTCTAACACAGTGATAAGTGAATGGTAACTGTATGCCAGTTTTGTTTAATACAATATTCATTTAGAAACAAACTGTGTTTGCAGTAGGAATAGTCAGTTTATTGATATTATTCGGTGAATGTTTTAGTTGATCTGTGAAATGTAAAATGCTGCTATAGTACACGTTATATACACATTTCTGAGACATTTATTTTGTTTGCTCAACTTATTACAGTAACTTTTGTCTGTTATTGTTGTTGGGTGACTGTCATCCTGTTATAATGAAGTTTTTTGTCTACTAAAACCATTCATAAGTTTCTTGGGAGACATCTTACTTCTGTGGAGAGAAATGAAACGTTATTTCACTTATGGCTTGTAAAAATATTGACTGAAACTAAGCTGTTATCAGACACTGTGTTAACAGTCTAGTGTATAAGGTTGCTGCATAAGTTGTTTTAGTGTTGGGAGTCTTTTCTCTGATGTCAGACATGAAACTCAAACCTGTCCTCATATTTATATTCAGTAGGAGCAGCAGCAGCGGTATATCATTACTGTTCCCCCACTGCTGCCTTGGTCAGAGTTAACTCTGGCAGTGCTTTCATTATCATCACTCTGCCTTGTGATTACAGCAGTGCCATGACATAACCTGTCCATTTTCATACTTGTCACTGACATTACCAAGATGTAAGCTACAATGATTAAGTGCAACATGGGGCTGTGAAATTGAAGTCTATGGCCTGAGAGCGTTTTAATCATGAAGACAAACAAACAGCACACTGTTGGAGTCATTACAAATTGGGGGTAATTGCTTTTTGACCCCGACAGCCTGCCAGTCAGGCACAAGGGAGGCCACTATGTGAAACACCACACACACGCCCACACACATTGATAAAAGACCTTGTTGGCCCACCAGTAAACAAACACACAAGAGGTGATCAATAACAATAACATCCAGTCGACAACATGCAGTGGATTTGCTGCATACTGTGTGTGGCATTTTTACGTGTGACTGGCTCTGTAATTCCCCCAGTTAGTTTCCCTAGAGTAGGCGTACAGCGCATCCTCCTTGAAGATGTGCTTTGATATTTCCGTGTCAGACTCCTCTAAGCGCTCAGCTCAGCCAGCAGCACGTGATTAAGATATATATGTAACATATTTCCTGTACATCCCCATCATATGATTTATACTATTGACACAGCACTTTTCAAAGGTTTTCATTAGTAAGTAAACTGTTTGTCCTTGTTTATTCCCTATCTTTTTTTTTTTTTTACTCTGAGGGGATGTTTTTGTGACCTTTGGGTGTCATTGAGGCAACCACACAGGAACACTTTCAGAGGTGCAAACTGAATCTGGCTGCTGTGTTTGTTTTCACACCACAGGATTCCCTAGCTTTTTTTTCTTTTGTGGCCACATGGTGATGTAGGGGAAAAGGGTCTTTTTTCTGCCATCACCAAGTGGTCACAGCTTATTCAAACAACATGATCAAACCCCAAGTAGAGGAATATGCTGAGTTTTAAGAAAATGCCATGTTGGTCAAATACTGGTCAACAACCAGCAGGTAATGCAGCCAATTGGTTGGTCGCTGCTGTGACTTTTGGCTGTGTGAGGGAAATACGTATAGCCAAGCAAGTTTGTTCTCAGAATTGTGACTTTAAAGTTGACTTTTACAGAATTTTCAGAACCCAAGTTTTTTAGTGGTCCTAATCCTCCTCTATAATCAACTCTCAAATGTTGTGAGCAAATTTTAAACTAGTTCTATAGTTTGCTAATTACAATTTAGCAAGTTGCTTCAAATATTTTTAGAAATAGTTTTAGTGGACTCTGCAGGTGAGCCAAGCCATCATGATTTTTACTTGAAAACTGAAAAGCAGACGTAGGTTCAAGTCTGCTTGTTGACTGGCTGATGTCCAAACTCCAATTGCATGTGACCCTTTCTCATGATGATTGATGTGGACAATTTACAAAGTTTTCCCAGCTCTGCATAGTTTCCACCTCTGCCTGTTCTCCTTGAACCTATGCAATGCAAATCCTCAATGTAAAACTTAGAATACTACAATAAGAAAAAGGAGCGGCAAACTGGGGGGAGTAAATTGTAACTGCCAGTTCCAGGAGACGCAGGAAGCAGAGAGCCTCGGAGAGTATGGATTTTTGTTGAAGAATGAAAATGTTTTTTTGGCTGCGGAGGAAGTGTAGCTGTGTTTTGCTTGGACTCAAACTGAACCTGGATGGTGCAAATAGGAACATAATTGAAAGCCAAAGGGTGAACCTAAAATATGCAGCCTTATCTTGTATGTTTGTTCACCTGGTTAGCGGGGTTAGTGAGTGAAGGACTTGAGAAGAGAGGGAGAGAGGAGGGAGGAGAAGACCTGTGATAAAATACAAAGTCCATTGCTTGTTTTACTCCAGACAAAGTAAGGCAGAGTAAACATTTTTGAGTTAAAGTCACCAAAAGTAGAAGTTATGTGTTTGTGTGTGGGCCCAAGTGTAAGTGTGTAAAGAAGACACAAGAAGAGAAAATGAAGGAGAAGAAAATAAATGTCATGGCAAGACTGAAAAACCAATGAGCATGAAAGAGATGGAAGAACCAGAAGGAGAAATAAAAACTGAGGAAAGAGGAGAAGAGAGGATGGCAGACAAAAAAAAGGAGATTCAGATCCAAATGTGGCTTTAATCAGCACTGAGGTTGAGAAGAAGGATGTTTGATGCTAGTAATTGAGAGAAAGATTCTGCCGGCTGATGTTCTGCTTAGGAATGTGTTCAAACACACACAATACACAACACACACACGGCTCCTATTAGACTGTGGTTACTCTGGTTTATATCCAGCAAAGCCACCTCAAGCAAATACTATACATAGTGTCAGGGAAATATTTTATTGAGCCTCTCTGTGATGTATGAATGTTCTGAAATCCCCTTATTTTCCTAAAGAAATCCACTTAAACCGGAAGCATGCTGACCTAAGACTCAAGTTTTAATGCAAAATACCCTCATTTGATCATAAACCCACTACAGAAAACAGCCTCCCCTGTCAACAGCCATGGAGTCTGGCCTACTGGGATCTTGTTGCACGGTTTCTGGGTACTGCAGTTCAAACTGTTTTCATACAGTTGTCAGATATCTTATCTGGTACAGTGCTGAAAAAGAGCTTATCAGTGTCTGACACAACACATCGAGTTCCATTAATTGCACTTATGATATGGCAAGAAAGCTGTAGTGGAGAGTGCTAGTTATTAATTTATCTAAAAAAAAAAAGAAAATTCAAACTGCATGGAAACGTGAAATCAAACAGTGGCTTATAAAAACATCTTCTGCTATACTTATTTCTTAAAATCATTCCCTCCATCCATATTTCTGACCCAATTTGCCATCCTTCCCCTACACTCCTTTTTGTGAAAATGTAACAAAAAACCATCTTTCCATCACTTCTCAATATGCCTCACTTCAGATTAAATTGACTCCATCCTTCCTAAAATTCATTTTCTCTTTTATTTCCTCTGTGACAGGAATCAGAACCAGGACCAGCCAGGGAGGGTGGTAGCAGCCAGGCCGTACGCAGTAAGAGGCGTGCTACTAGGGGTAACGGAGGCAACTGAGGTTTAGAGGACAATCCACATATGAGTACATATGAGTAGCCCCTGATGAGACATCCCCTGCTCTTTTCCAGTGTCCAAGACTTAGGTAGGAGGCTGCTATTAGGATGATAACATTACTTTTTCATTTATTAAAGACTCAAAATACAATTTTTTTGTCCTTGTGACACTTTTTGGGCCATTTTATGTACTGGCTGCTGTATTTGAACTCAGAAAAGAGAAGAGTAAGTACAAAGAAGGACCACAGAGACGAGGGAAAATAAGTGCAGTTGGATGGGAGCATATGTGCAGATAAAATGAGCTTTGCTTCACTGGTCCCAGTACATAATAGGAGGTGGAGGGAGCAACCCCATCTAAGCTGTGGTTGAAGGTCATTAACAGGATTACATGCAGAGACAAAACATCAGAGCCTTCTATACTTATTGGCCCCATGTGTATTCCTGTAGTACAATAGATTTTCAATTACTCTGAGTTTTTTTTTTTTGTGATAACCTACATATAGCAAGACAAACCTTTTCCCTTACTGGGAAGAGCATAAGTGCCTTAATCACTGAGGTGGCATCACACGTCAGCATGGTTCATGGGAACAAGTGCAAGGTCTCTGCAGGCTTACGCCACATCAGACTCAACATCACACGTCAGTATAGTAGTCCCTGGCATCCTTGGTGAGCCTCAAAATGGCTCTGCTCAGTGCTGGTATGTGGTGTTTCCTCCCTTTCTGCTCCCAGATGCCCCTATTAAACCCCAGCTGGGGAAGTGGAGCAGAGGCCCTGGGACTGTGGTCAGCAGCAAAGTAGAAGGGCTGCCTCTGACCTGACGCAATCCCAATCTCATGAACCATAGCAGGGTATTAATGAAGCCAGACAGGGTCATGCATGTGTGGGAGGCCTGCTGACATTTAGCTGCTGCAGTGGAAAGCTTAAAGAGAACCAGAGGTTCACGTCAGGACTGCCACATGCTAAAAAAAAACTATAAAAAAAAAAAAACTAGATATCCTTCCAACTACACATGACAGATATTTTTATCTACCTTTATTAATTTCTTACAAACTTATAGAAGTAATGTTAAGCCAAAACCAACAGCAGTAAAGGGCTGTCGATCAAGTAAATACATAAATGAATACTACTGTTAGTCAAATAATTAAAAGAGCAAAACAAAAAATGTTTACTTTACCTTATTAATGTTATACAGAAATACATATGGTGTGTGAGAATGCTAAGTAGCTAGCCAACTTTGTTAGTGTTAGCTTACTGGCTAAAATGTTTTAGCTGCTATTACAAGAGTTTTGCTTGCTTGTTGTTGTGATGCATTTTGCAACTACATTCTTCGCAGTAGCCACTGGAGGTGAAGCCACAGTATTAAATCATCCCAGATAAACCCCTTTTTATATAATCAAGTAACATTAAAACAAACTCCTCGGCAAAGCGACTCCTTGTGCACAAATTAGCGTGATAATTTCTATACCTAAAATAACAAAAATCACCTCTGGGAAAAAGTTATTTGATTTGTACTTTGTAGTTTTTAGTTTGGTTCGTTTCCTATCTGCTAACAGAGACAGAGTGGGAGTCGTCTTTATATACAGTCTATGGTTTATACAATAGTGCTCTAGCAGGACTTTGAATATGACTGATTACCTGCACAAAAGTTAGCTTCAACTAGGTAGCCAGCTAACACTAATCCTTTAGATTTCTTTTGAGTCTATATTTTTATAAATAGTGTTACAATTGTAAATATTCAGCTAAATTTTTGACACAACAGATTTTCTCAACTTTTTAATTTAGTTTCAGAGCTCCATACACCAGCAGTCAAGCAGTACAGCCAAGTAGCAGCAGTGGTTTTTTCTTATCACGAAATGTTTATCGCTTCCTGTCTCGCTGAGCATACTTTGCCTGTTTATAAACAAATTTAGCCTGCTGCTCTGGTTTAGAAGCTTGATAAGTGTTTTCAGTGAAATGTAAAATGAACTTTTTGTAACTTTCACACCAGACAAAGCAGGACAAAATGGCAGC